AGAGTAATACATACACACACACACACACACCAGAACTATGTTTTCTTTTTTTTGAGACAGAGTCTCGTTCTGTCATCAGGTGGGAGTGCTGTGGCGCAATCTTGGCTCACTGAAACCTTCGACTCCTTGGTTCAAATGATTCTCCTGCCTCAGCCTCCCAACTAGCTGGGATTACAGGCATGTGTCACCACACACAGTTAACTTTTGTATTTTTAGCAGAGACGGTGTTTCAGCATGTTGGCCAGGATGGTCTCGATCTTCTGACCTCGTGATCCACCCATCATGGCCTCCCAAAGTACTGGGATTACAGAGGTGAGCTACCGTGCCCAGCCCAGAACTATGTTTTCTAAAGGTCATAGTGCTCCATGTGAAAGCAGCTTACTCACCTGGCAAGAAAATGAAGTTTAAAATGTTGGCAGACCAACAGGCTGAGATGCCCCAATAGCAACATGCAAACCCAGTGAGTAAAATCTTGGTTTCTAAATCCTATTCTCCTAAAAGAAACCAGGGATTCTTGTAGAAATGGCTGATTCTAGGACTGAGGCAGGGAAAATATAAGGTATGTTTGTGGCATCATGTGATGTCAGAAAGTACATGCTCTAAAAAACAAAACTATCAGGGAATGTCAAGGGACACACAAGCCAACTTGAAAGAGCCCCTAATGGCTAAAGCTGGAACAATCTGAACAATAAAATCATGTACTATTGGGTTATAATTCAAAGTGTGAAATATACACAAGCTCATACTGACAGATACATAGCCATGTGTGTACATTTATACATACATATAAATACATATGAGTGACTAAATAAACAAATGGAGAAGAGAGACATCTTCCTTGTGGGAAAATTCCAAATAATGTAAGTAGACGCTTCCCACTCTAGAAAGGAAGTGAAGCTTAATTCTCTCCTACTCCCACCTCTCTTCCCAAGTGTGGGCTGGATTTAGTGACTGGCTTTCAAACAGACTAGAGTAAGAAAGGGGGGAAAGAAAAGTTAACTATAGAGTGGAGAAACCTGGCAAACACCAACTTAACTAAGTAAAGTTAAGTGAGTATCTTGTACCTGCTGATGAGAAGAGAGCTTCATTTATATGGTATTTGTGTTTCTATTTTTTAGAGACAGGGTCTCATTCTACTACCCAAGCTGAAATGCCGTGGCATGATCATAGCTCACTGCAGCCTTGATCTCCTGGGCTCAAGTGATTCTCCTGCCTTAGCTTCCCGAGCAGCTGGGACTACGGGTGTGCATCACCACGCCCGGCTAACTTTTAAGTATTTTTGTAGAGATGGGGGTGGTCTCCCCTATATTGCCCAGGCTGGTCTCAAACTCCTAGCTTCAAGTAATCCTCCTGCCTTGGTTTCCCAAAGAGCTGGGATTAAAATATACAGTTATTTTTATCTAAAATACATAACCCCACTTTAATCATGAGAAAAACACCAGACAAATACAAATTGACAGACATTCTACAAAATGTCCCATTATTACTCCTCAAAATTGTCAAGGTCATGAAAAAGACCAAAAAACTGTCAAAGTTCAGAGGACACTAAGGAGATGATTACTTAGATGCAATGTAGTATACTGGATTGCATCTTGGACCAGAAAAGGGACATAGGTGAAAATCTAAATAGTCTTAGGTTTAGTTACAAGGAACATACCAGAGCTGGTTTCTTAGTTTTGATAAATGTCCCATGGTAATATAAGATGTTATTATAAAGGGAACTGGGTGAGGGGTATATGGAACTTTCTGTAAAATCTGCAACTTTTCTGTGAGTCTAAAATTATTTCAAAATAAAACTTTAACTGAATAACATTTGGCATATGATTCTCTGTAGCTTAATGTATAAATCATCTCATGATTTGGTAATACACAGTGATGTCAGGTTGTTTTTTTAAGTCCCCAAACTAACAGATTATCATTTTTCTTTTTGAGGGACATATGTGATATTTTATGCCAGTGGGCATGTAGCATCTCTCTCCCTACCTGGCCTGAGCCTGTCATCCCAGCTACTCGGGAGGCTGAGGCAGGAGAATCACTTGAACACGGGAGGCAGAGGCTGCGGTGAGCCAAGATCATACCACTGCACTCCTGTCTGGGCGACAGATCAAGACTCTGTCTCAAGAAAAGAAAAAGCAAACAAAAAGTAACGTAAAATGTTACTCCCTACAAAATGGAGAATATAGAAGTACATGCTAATGACATAGTTGAAATTGAAAAACTATATTCCTCTACTTTTTTTTTTAAAGAATAAAACTTGAGTGATGAAAACAGAATCAGATACAGTAGCCTAGGATCTTCCCCCCACCAACTTAGAATTCTATTAACTTAAAAGGAGCCATTTGGCCAGGCGCGGTGGCTCAAGCCTGTAATCCCAGCACTTTGGGAGGCCGAGACGGGCGGATCACGAGGTCAGGAGATTGAGACCATCCTGGCTAACATGGTGAAACCCCGTCTCTACTAAAAAAAAAAAAAAAAAAAAAAAAAAAAAAAAAAAAAAAAAAAAAAAAAAAAAAAAAAAAAAAGGAGCCATTTGAAACAAAAAGATAGTACGTCAAAAACTCCTAAAACTTGTTTGGAGAGTGGTTTTAAAGCTCTCTTTGGATTTAATTGTTGCAAACAGCCTAGAATGAATTTTGAAATATAAAGAAAAAAAAAAACTAACAAAGATCTGCCAGAGTAATAAGGAGCAGATACTTCTTAGTGGGATATGATGCTGATGCAGCATGTTAATAACCTTTAGCTTTCTGTTTTCATGAAGAATATGAGATCCATGAAAGCAGAGACTACTTTGGTCACTGTTATCCTATCTCCACTTAGTGCACAGTAGAAGTTGAGCTAAATATTGGTTGAACAAAACAAGTTCATGATGCATTTATGGGCTGGCTTATTGGCCTAGGCAAGAGCCCAAAATAAGTTCATTTTGAAAATTAGTATCATTTTCCTTTGTTAGAAATGACAAAATGTTCATTTACTGAATAGCCATAAGTTAACTGGTTAGAAAATAGGTATAAGCACCCTAATAAATGCACTAAAAGAGGCATTGGGTCAGGTGCGGTGGCTCATGCCTGTATCCCAGCATTTTGGGAGGCCTTTTGCTACAGCTTGAGGGAGTGCTGGCATATCAATGTTGGCAGTGTCACCTATTATATTAAAACAAGAATTGCCAAACCCTGTTTTCCAGTAAAAAGACTAGACAGGGTAATAATCTTGACAATGTTTAGCAATTCAGTTGATATTAGTAGGGGTCTATTATCTTACTTTGCTCATATTTTGTCATTAGGTAACTTCCAATCCTAGCACACATTCCGTGTCCACAGCAACAAGATACTCAAAGCTTACTTTGTAGTCTCTTCAGCACACTTCATGTTATAGGTGAGATTTCAAACATTGTTTCTGTCATTGTACTACAGATGTTTATGTCTTCAGATATTTTTCAACCCTTTAATTGTTCTTTCAAAAATATTTTTCTCTCTCCTCCGTTCCTTACACTTGTTAATATGTAAAATACTGGCAACTAGGCCATCTCTACTACCTGAAATCCCTCCCTGGTCAGACCCCTGCAAAAAACAGCTACTGATTCTCAAGAGGCAGTTATCACCCTGTATTCCCCCAAACTCCCCCTCCCTCAACCCCTGTGAGTGCTGCCAATACCTTCTAAAAACTTCTATCACTCAGAAAAGATTCCTTGATCATAATCCTCTGCACTTTGATTCTGGAGTTTGTTTACTCAGCAAGACCCTGTCTCATAACAAAACAAAACAAAAGCAGCATACAGCAGGGGTCCCCAACCCCCGGGCCAACTGCACGTACTGGTCCGAGACCTGTTAGAAACTGGGCTGCACAGCCGGTGAGTGGTGTGTGAGCAAGCATTTCCACCTGAGCTCTGCCTCCTGTCACATCAACGGCGACATTAGACTCTCACAGGAGCGCGAACCCCATTGTGAACTGCATATGCGAGGGATCTAGGTTGCGCATTGGGGACCACTGGCACACAGCATTACACCACTGAAAAATGGCCTCTGTGGGCTTATGTAGTGGGATCTTGTCTTGTGTTCAGCTACACTTCAGAAAAACATTTTATTGCTATAGGAAATTTTGTTCTTGCGTTTCACAATTCTTGCCAAGTCTCTTAATGTGGATATTTCTTCAGAGATGGAAGCCAGCAGAAATCTCTTACTATCCAGATACAAAAGACAAAGACTATTTATCTGGGAGTAGTCTGGCTTTCTTCACAAATACACTGATGGCCCACAAACAACTGAAATGGAAAACCATCTGTAGAGACTGCCACTTCATGAAAGGGTGGGAAAATTAGAAAGCACAGCACTCCAATATCTGTAGGAGAAGCAGAGGCCAAAGCAGAGGCCCACAGTTAGCTTTATACTCACCAGAATGCCTTGAATGAGGTTGGAGTTGGCAGACAATGTGATTTTCATACATGGTATTGGTTTGATTTAAACCCCACCCCCACTTTTATAAAAATCCCACCCCCACTTTTGTAAAAGCGTAACATAGCTTTTGGTTTTATTCATTCTTTAGAGGACATCTTTGGGTTTCTTAAGCATTGCAGGCAACTGATGGAAGATTTTAAAATCAGTGGTAGTGGCAGTCTCCAAGTGAATTATCATCCTGAGTCCTGATACATACAGTGGAAAACTTAGTTATCTAAAGGACTGCCCTGAGGTTTACTGTCCTGAATGCATTTCTAGTTAGTGTTGGAAATAAGTTTCACTGGACTCCCAGTGGGGCATTCCCACCCAAGCACGAGTGCCCTCCTTACCCACAAAGTAGCTTGCCTTTTCAGTGAGTAGAGACACATACATACATACATGTGCATGCACATACGTGTGCACACACGCACACACACACACTCTCACTCTCTCTCGTTTTCTCTCTCTCACCTCAGGAGTGATGTGAATTAGACAATAAATAGCCAGACAGCACCCCCAGGAATGGGCACACATGCAGCAGCTGTCCAAAGGAGAAGTCACTTTACTTTCTTTTAAACTTGCAATGTTTGTCTTTATTTTGTTCTTTATATTTTCAAAGTGAAAAGAAATAGTATTGAGTCAATTTCTTTTTGTTTTTTTAAATATTTGTTCTATGTATTTACAAGCCTTAAAGTTGCTCTAAAGATTTCCAGAATATTAAGAGTACTTTTCTCAGGGTAGCACTTTTTTTTTTAAACAATTCTTGGAGTTCTGTGGTCCACAGCATTTCCTTCTGTTTCAATGTTATGTATGTTTTGATTACTATTGTGATTTTTTAAGTTTTCTGAAGCAAGCTGAGAGGCAGGCAGAAAGATTTGATGCCAAAAAAAAAAAAATCTTTCTTACCTTGTTCACCCCAAACTTTCTCAAATCTGGACTAAATGCTATACCTTAAAACAAACATGAGGTGCATCTTGAAGGGGAGGGAAATTTATTTCTCTGCTTTTCTATTATACAAGTTGTTTACAGAAACTGCAAATTAAAAAATTACACTGGCATTTGCAGTCCTTAAAATAAATTAAAAGTTCTCAACTTTTTTTTTTTTTTTTGCTAAACATTTTTTTTTTAGTCCTTGTTTAAAAAGAAAAGATTAAAACAGAAAATATTTTCTATAAATAATACATGTATTTTGGTTTTAGTGCTCCCGCCCTAAGGTTTGAAGTTTACTTTTTTCCAGTACCTTTTTCCTCCATGATCACCTTTTTTTCACTTTCCCCTCTCCCACTCGTGCACACGTGGGGGTTTCTGCGAGAATTGGCCTTGCTGCACTGTGATTGGCGAAGACGTGAAACTTTTTAAAAAAATACTTAAATTGTTTCTTTTGTTTCCTTTTGTGTATTTGAAGTTTTAGTTATCCTCAGACTCCTCTTCTGCTTCCCGCAGCCACGTGAAGAATGCCGTGACAGATTTCAGGGCCACGCCCTTCCCATTCTGCTCTGCAGGGTCCTTGCTGCTCTCCCATTTGTAGAAGGCATCCTCGGAGATCACCTCCTCATCATACAGGCAATCAAAAAACATTCGCAGCAAATCTGCAAGGAGGTGAAAATAAACTATAAGCTTTGGGACACTGTAGTTATGAGGAAAAGAATGTATTTCAAAATAATGAATGACTGAATAAATGTGCATTAATTCCCCCAGAAAAAAGCAATAATGACAATTCACCATACTTGCTCTTGACAGTATAAACAGCCCAACAACTTGTTCAAAGAAGAGGAAAAAAATATTGAAGCAGTCTAAATTATTTTTTATTCCTATTATTTTGTTCAATTTGAACTTCCTTTCTTTTTCCTTTTTTTTTTTTTTTGAGAGACAATCTTGTTCTGTCCCCAGGCTGGAGTGCAGTGGTGTGATCTTGGCTCACTGCAACCTCCACCTTGTGGGTTTAAGCAACTTTCCTGCCTCAGCCTCCCAAGTACCTGGGATTACAGGCACCCGCCACCACGGTCAGCTAATTTTTGTATTTTAAGTAGAGACGGGGTTTCACCATGTTGGCCAGGCTGGTCTGAAACTCCTGATCTCAGGTGATCCACATGCCTCAGCCTTTTTTAAAAGATTTATCTTTGTAATTATATTAGTCAAGCTAATATTATCAAATTATCTGATTCACGGTAGACTGTCTCTTCAATTACACTATAAGGATAATTTGCTTTGATCTTTTCCTTTATCTCCCAGAGCGATTCAGCAGGACTAGGGAAGAAGGAATTTTACAAAAGCAAAACTAAGGAAGTACCAAAGAACTACTTGAGTGCTCTCTCTCATAGCTATGTACTGCCCACTTTAACAAATTCCAACTGAATTTTCAAGATGTAATAAAAATCACTAGTTAACACTAAGTATCACTAAGACTTAAGTGTGCAGGTTACTTTGTTTCATTAGCCAAGAATTAATCATAACACTTAACTAAAAACTATTCTGAAACTCCTTAGTAAATATACCATGGTAAATAAACTATACTTAGGGTCTTTGTTGGGTGTCTAAAGATTCTAGAGTATCATCCTCAACATCATTAACCATCTTCATGCCCTAGACCTGTGATGTCCAATATGGAAGCTACTAGCCAAACATGGCTATTTAAATTTAAAGTCAATAATTCAGTTCCTAAGTCACAACAGACACATTTAAGTATAGAACTGCCACATGTGGCTCATGGTTACCATACTCAATGGTATGAATATACTTCCATCATTGTAGAAAGTTTTGTTAGGCCTGCCCTGGAATGGGGATGAAATAACCTAATCTAAATAGTTTTCTTGTTGTGATTTTTTCATACAAGCATATAACAAATTCTTTTTTTTTTGGATGGAGTCTTGCTCTGTTGCCCAGGCTGGAGTGCAGTGGCACAATCTTGGCTCACTGCAAACTCCGCCTCCCAGGTTCAAGTGATTCTCTTGCCTCAGCTTCCCGAGTAGCTGGGACTACAGGCACACGCCACCTAGCCCATTTTTGTATTTTTTTTTTTTTTTTTTTTGAGACAGAGTCTCACTCTGTCGCCAGGCTGGAGTGCAGTGGCGTGATCTTGGATCACTGTAACCTCCGCCTCCTGTGTTCAAGCGGTTCTCCTGCTTCAGCCTACCAAGTAGCTGGCATTACAGACGCGTGCCACCACACCCGGCTAATGTTTTGTATTTTTAGTAGAGACGGGGTTTCACTGTGTTAGCTAGGATGGTCTCGATCTCCTGACCTCATGATCCATCCGCCTTGGCCTTCCAAAGTGTTGGGATTACAGTCGTGAGCCACTGTGCCTGGCCAATTTCTGTATTTTTAGTAGGGACGGGGTTTCACCATGATGGCCAGGCTGGTCTTGAACTCTTGGCCTCAAGTGAGCTGCCCGCCGTGGCCTCCCAAAGTGCTGGGATTACAGGCGCGAGCTACTGCACCCGGCCAAATTCAGATTTATTAAAGTTAGTTATATGAGTTTTTGTTATTAGTGATTCTTTTATTGTCCAGTGTTCAAACCCTAAATCATCTCTAAGTCCTGGCTTGGATAAATCTCACTCATTGGTTGGATTAACTGTAACATGAGATAAACTTACTGGCAGGTTGATCGAGTTTTACTATCGATGCTTGTAGTGCATAAAGTGCTTGCAGTTCCTTCTCTGTATCTGAGTCTAGGTACTTGAGTAAGATCGGCACTCTCTGCTTGATAACAGCAGTGTCCACTCTGAAGGTAGAAGAGTCGGCTAAAGATGATAGAAGAACTAGGAATTACATTTAAGGAGTTAACATAGAATTATCTTTAATTTTCTTTCTTTCTTTTTTCTTTTTTTTTGTGAGACAGAGTCTCGCTCTATCGCCCAGGCTGGAGTGCAGTGGCATGATCTCAGCTCACTGCAACCTCTGTCTCCCAGGTTCAAGCGATTATCCTGTCTCAGCCTCCCAAGTTGCTGGGACTACAGGTGCTTGCCACCACGCCTGACTGATCTTTTTGTGTATTTTTAGCAGAGATGGGGTTTCACAATGTTGGTCAGGCTTATCTCGAACTCCTGACCTCAGGCGATCCACCTGCCTCAGCCTCCCAAACTGCTTGGATTACAAGGCATGAGCCACCACTCCTGGCCTCTTTCTTCTTCTTCTTCTTCTTCTTCTTAATTTTTAGTTTTTTAAATAATAGAGACAAGGTCTCACTATATTGCCCAAGTTGGTCTTGAACTCCTGGGCTCAAGCAATCCTTCTGCCTTGGCCTCCCAAAATGGTAGGATTACAGGCATGAGCCACTGCACTTGGCTCATTTTCAATTTTCTGAGTACAAAGGACCCATATGGCTCTACAAGAGAAGAGGAGGCAAGAAGGTCTAAGGCAAATATTTTGAAATCCAAAATGCTCTGAAATTATTAATGAGACATTCTCTCACAAATAATAAAAAACATGGAGGAGGATGTATTTTGAATGCTGGTTTCCCTCGGGGTAGCATACCCAATTATCTTTAATTATAATGAAACAGTGACAGTGGTTTTATGACAAACTACAAAAGCAAAATTAATCAAATGTCTTACCATAAAAAAAGGTAAGTGAGGTGATAGATATGTTAATTAATTTGATTCATTCATTCCACATTGGACACATATATCAAAACATCACATCGTACCCCATAAACATATACAATCATAATTTGTCAATCAAAAATAAGTGAAACATAGAGTAGGAATTTCAAGTGAGTACTTAAAAAAAGCAACATAAAAAAAGCAACATTAGAAAAGGAAATTAAAGTGACACTTAATACAAATCTTTTCAGAAGGGTAAAATAATTGGAACCATTTTGTTATTACTAGGATAAAAATTAACTGTGGCAGTGGCAGATAGCATACCTAAGCCAGGCCTTTTGAGGGAAAGGAATGATAAAAAGGGGCTGAGAAATGAAAAGCATCCTCAGTGTGAAGACACATAAGGGCTTATATTATCTGTAAGTTATCACTAAGACACAATTTTGTTTTCAAAAGCAGACTTTGTGCTGGGCCTCATGGCTCATGCCTGTAATTCCAGCTACTCAAGAGGCTAAGGCAATAGGATCCCTTAAGCCCAGGAGTTCTGGTCCAGCCTGGGCAACATAGTGACCCCCACCATCTCAAGAAAACAAAAACCAACAGCTTTTGGACTTCCCAACTCGAATTTTAAAACATGAAAGTCTTATGATGGTTCTATGGATACTGAAAATGATTTTTAAAAATTTCATGAAGACTTTCTACTTAGCTTTGTTATTTATCTCATTAAAGAACATTGAAAATAAAGTCATTGTAAATCTTAAATTACAATTCTGAAGCTATATTAAGTGGCAGGAAGCTGTCTTCAAAAATAATACAGACAGACTTGAAATTCTGAGACATCTTTTGTGCTGATGAATTTTTTTTTCTCACTCCAGTGACAGAAGTATGAATTTCTATCTGAAACTAAAGAGATGTCTTCATTGAATAATGTTAAATATTGTATACAGCTTGGAATATTTAGGATTTCTACTGATCCTAATCCTATCAATATTAATAATTCATAAACCAATAAAAGTGTCTTATCATATAAAATAAAGTCAATGAAGAACAGGACAAACTGTTGGTATTTTTTTCTTCGTATATGTACTTATATAAAATGACTTTTTTGATGAGAATAACCCTATACTGATAATTAGATTAAGAATATTCAACCCATTCATTGTAATTCATGATTGGAAGGAGGCGGCAGCCCTGAATGTTAGAGGTGAAAAGATAAAGAAAAAGCTACACACAATGTAGTAAAAAACAACCCAAGGAGCATGCAAGGCATGTGGTAGCTGGTTAGATCTGGGTTCTCTGTAGGCGGAAGAGCTATTTGTCTCCATGCTTGAGACAACCAGGCATCACAGACAGAAAGGACAGTGCACAGAAAAGTGAGCTACATAGGTCAAGTTTTGAAAACAATGTAACATCAAACTGTATACTTAGTAGTTGACATAATGGGGATTTCAGATGTTATGAGCTGCCTTCAGAAATGTTACTTACCTATAATAGCTGCTTTACAAACAGCAGTCATTAAAGCTCTAAGGAATGTAGGTGAACTCATCTGGCTTTCGTCTAGATTAGCCTGAAGTCAAAAAGAAATAAAACAATTAAAGATAACCTTGCTTAGCCAGGCACAGAGGATCACGCCTGTAATCCCAACACTTTGGGAGGCCGAGACAGGAGGATCACTTGAGGCTAGGAGTTGAGACCAGTCTAGGCAATATAGTGAGACCCTATCTCTACAAAAGCAAAACAAAACAAAACCAAAAACCCTGGTATTGTGGCACATGCCTGTGCCTGTGTTCCCAGCTACCTGGGAGACTAAGGTGGGAGGACTGCTTGATCCCAAGAGTTTGAGGCTGCAGTAAGCTATGACTGCACCACTGTACTACAGCATGGGTGACAGAGCAAGACCTAGTCTCAAGAAAACAAAAAACAGGCCCATTGCAGTGGCTCATGCCTGTAATTCCAGCGCTTTGGGAGGCTGAAGAGGATGGATCACCTGAGGTCAGGAGTTCGAGACCAGCCTGGCCAATATGATGAAACTGTGTCTCTACTAAAAACACAAAAATCAGCCAGGCATGGTGGCAGGCAGAGGTTGAGGCAGGAGAATCATTTGAACCTGGGAGGTGGAGGCTCCAGTGAGCCAAAATTGCACCACTGTACTCCAGACTGGGTGACAAGAGCAAAACTTCATCTCAAAAAAAACCGAAAAACAAAAAAAGATATCCTTGCACACCAGAGAAATTATCCTGAGAATCAGGACCAATCTGGCACTAAGAACAACAGATGAGTCACTTTTTTTTGTTTTTTGAGACAGAGTCTCACACTGTCACGCAGGCTGGAGTGCAGTGGTGCGATCTCAGCTCACTGCAACCTCTGCCTCCCAGGTTCAAGCGATTCTCCTGCCTCAGCCTCCCGAGTAGCTGGGACTACAGGCGCCTGCCACAATGCCCAGCTAATTTTTTAGTACTTTTAGTACAGACATTACACTATGTTGGCCAGGCTAGTCTCAAACTCCTGACCTTGTGATCTGCCCACCTTGGCCTCTCAAAGTGCTGGGATTACAGGCATGAGCCATCACGTCCGGACCACATGAGTCACATTTTTGCACATTCTTGCTAAAATTAAATATCCAATTCATTGAAAAATAATTTGGCTATTGCCAGTTCTATATGCAAATATTTGAATTAAGAGTATTTACTTTTCAGGGTCCTCTCCACTGCCTATCCGCTACTCATTCAATTATACAGTGTTAAGTACTTGTACATTTGGAAGTACAACCACTTAAAAACATATTTTATTCACCAATAAATAATCCATATTAAGATAATCTACTCAATCTATGAAAGAATGACACCACAACTGCAGTGTATTTTAATGACTACTTACTCAGAAGCATGTAATTATTTTTACGTGTGCCAATACTGCTTTTTCACCTGAATTTTAATGTGAATTAAAGTTAATCTCAAGCATTACTTAACCCCTTTAAGTGGTGAGAAAAATATTACTCTTTTCTAAGGATGGCAAAACAAAAGCATTTAAAAACTAATCATTAAGGTTAAAAACTCATGAAGTGAACAGACAGGTAAGCGAATTAAGGGGATCCCACAAGAATCTTTCCTTAGAGATATCAGGGAAGGTGACATAGTCTTTATACCTCTACCCAATCAAAGATCTGTTCATCATTCGCTTTGTCCTCAATAATGAGTTTCTCGAGTCGCTTATACAGCTCTTCGGCAGACAATTCTTTCTTTGAAAGTGCTTCAGAGGAACAGGGACTGTCAGACTCTATGAAGTCCAACTTCTGAAACATAAAAGGAGGAACATATTAATATATTAATATAATTCTATGTTATTATCATCCTGAGAGAAGAACAAAGTCATAGGTTATGTCTTCTATTTTACACGGAATCAGAATGATCAGCAGAGGCTATTTTATGTTTGTAGTTGTTTCTTTTTTGAGACAGGGTCTTGCTCTGTCACCCAGGCTGGAGTTTGGCTCACTGCAACTTCCACATCACGGGCTCAAGCAATCCTCCCACCTCAGCCTCCTGAATAGCTGGGACTCCAGACCTGCACTACCACAGTTGGCTATTTTTTTGTATTTTTAGTAGAGAAGGGGTCTCGCCATGTTGCCCAGGCTGGTCTTGAGCTCCTGAGCTCAAGCAATCCGCCCTCCTTGGCCTCCCAAAGTACTGGGATTACAGGCATGACTCACCACGCCCAACCTGTTTGTATTATAGTTTTGAAAGACTGTAGTCCACTATCCTTCTGAATATTTTTCCAACTTCTCATACTGTGTATCTTAAAAAGGAAGGAAATAAACCCCCTATAATTATCTCTTGGCTATGGTTACATGCAAATAATCTTGAGCTTCAATCTTCCCCTTAGTTGCAACATAGCTCTTTAAGGCAGGATAGGAGCCCTACAAAAGGGTAAAGTTTCACTGCCTTTCTGCAAACCTATGGTTTAACATTAGTATTGGTACTCAGCAAACTCGATAGGTTAATATTAGGTTAATATTAAACCTATAGTTTAATATTAGTATTGGTATCAAAACTCGATAGTTTTGGCTTTGTTAAGTTATGGCCATTTTGAATATAGGTGTGAGAAATGATGCTGTAATTGTTTAGCACGTAGATACATAGTTTTAAAAAATCTATAATCAGTCTGGGTGCAGTGGCTCATGCCATTAATCCCAGAACTCTGGGAGGCCAAGGCAGGAGGAGTGTATGAGTCCAGGAGTTTGAGACCAGCCTGGGCAACATGGCAAAACCCTGTCTCTACCAAAACAAATACCAAAATTAGCCAGGTGTTGTGGCGTGTGCCTGTGGTCCCAGCTATTCAGGAGGCTGAGATGGGAGGATTGCTTGAGCATGGGAGGTTGAGGCTGCAGTGAGCTGTCACTGCACTGCAGCCTGGCAGTAGGGCGAGATCCTGTCTCAAAAAGAAAAAAAAAATCCATAATCAAAATTATTCATAATTTTCAAGGGACTAAAGAAATAAGGTATGTACGTATGCCTTGCTTCACGTGGCTTCTTTACACAAAAACCATAAAGATGAATATACTAAGGATTACTCACATTAGGTTTTCTCTAATACCCTTGAATACTCTGGTATAGTCCTGTACCCTATCCCCAATCCACAAAGTGAAAGCCACTGTCTTGAATTCTGTCATCTGATTGTTCCATTTCTACCACTTATGTAGCATCTCTAAATGATACTTCCCAATAAGGTTTTATTATTTATTTATTTTTGACTTGAGGTCTCATGTTGCTAGGTTGGACCTGAACTCTGGGACTCAAAGATCCTCCTGCCTCAGCCTTCCGAGCAGCTGAGACTACAGTGTGTACCACTGCACCCAGTTCCATAAGGTTTTAGAAACGTGGCACAATATTACAAACAATTTTTCTGATTCAGTATTGGTTAACTATATATCCAATCCATGATGCTCCAATATATGCAAAAAACCACAACATGAAGGCCATAAGCTCTTTAAGCAAACCGAAAGTCAAGATACAGGCCAAGTTTTTTTCAACCTCATTTTTCAAACTATACTCTAAACACTTTTATATATTCATTTTATTATGTATATATTATTTTGCCTTTTTTTCTTTTAAACTGAAAGAAAAAAATATTTATTTATTTAGACACAGTCTTCCTCTTTCGCCCAGGTTACAGTGCAATGGCACTAGCACAGCTCACTGCAGCCTTGACCTCTGATTGCTTTTTTTGTCTTTTAAACTGAACTCTCATATTTATTTATTTAGACAGGGTCTTGCTCTTTTGCCCAGGTTACAGTGCAGTGGCACTACCATGGCTCACTGTAGCCTTGACCTCCCAGGCCAAGTGATCCTTAGCCAACTAATGCAGGAACAAAAAATCAAACACTGCGTGTTCTCACTCATAGGTGGGAGCTAAATGGTGACAACACATGGACACATAGAGTGGAACACCACACACGAACCTATCAGAGGGCAGAGGTTGGGAGGAGGGAGAAGATCAGGGAAATAATAGGTACGAGGCTTAATACCTGGATGACAAAATAATCTGTACAACAAACCTGCACATGTCCCCCGACCTTAAAATAAAAGTTAAATTTGAGGAAAAAGAGGAGTCAGGGAGAGGGAGTGGAGGAGGAGGGGAGAGGAGAGAGGGGAGAGCAGAGGAGAGAGATAAGAGAAAGAGAGAGAGATACTATTGATGGCAGTGGCTGCTGCCATTACGCTGGCTGCAGCAGGGAGGCGCAGCTGGTGCTGTACACTGCATGGAGCTGGTGGGAGCCCTGTCCCTTCTGAGTTGGGATGGGAGCTGCCTGTGCTACTGTAGCCACCCAAACCACAGCTGTAGACCCAGGCCTCCTGCTCTATGGAACAGGCAGAAGCCCTGCCCTCCTAGAGTCACCCAAACTGCAGCTATGGATCCGAGCCTCTCTGTGCTCTTGGGGGATCAGGGAACAGGCAGGATCTCCCCTCCTGGGTGCTGTCACAGCTGCCTGACCCGCGGCTGCAGACCTGCGCCTCCCGTTCCACAAAGCAGGCAGGAGACGGGACAAGGGGGAGCCCTGCCTCTTCTGAGTTGGTGGGGTGGGAGCTCTGGGGTGCAGCTGTGGCTGCCCTCCCAGGCATGCAGGACCCGGGCATCTCCGCAGTCTGCACTCTCAGGTGCCCCAGGAAGGACCCCCTGTCCCTGCAGGCTCAGGGGTGTCTGCTCTCTGATCTTGGAGTGGGGTTGGGACCAAGCCCCAGGGCCATGAATGGCAGCAGGAGGCAGACAGAGTCCTGGGTAGAAGGGGGCAGGGTCCCCAGTAAGGCCCCACCCTCAGGCCAGGGAGGACCTAAAGGCTAGGGGCTGGGGTGCCAGTCCAGCAGACTGGAGTGGGGCATCATGGTGCCTCTTCCAGGCCCAACCATGGCTGCCTATGGACCAGTCGCCATGCATTTCCTCCCCTCTGAGGTATAAAAGCCCTGGGCTTAGCCAGAGCAGGGCAGAAGATGGCCAGAGGACAAAGAGGGCAGAGAGATGATGGGAGGACCAGCTGCAGAGAAGAATGCCTTCTCTGCTGAGAGCTACAGAGATGACCTGCCAGCAGAGAGGAGCTACCCACTCCACTGAGAGCCTCAGAGACGTGCAGAAATGTCCAAATGACCTGCCTGTGGAGAAGAGCTATCCTCTCCAGAGCCGTGATGGCAGATTACAGGCACGTGGGATCACAGGTGTGTGCTACCACACCCAGCTAATTTTTGTATTTTTATTAGAGATGGGGTTTCACCATGTTGGCCAGGCTGGTCTCGAACTCCTGACCTTGTGATCCGCTACCCACTCCTCTGAGCTGTTCTAACACTAAAACTCCTCTTCACCCTTCACTTGTTTGCATACCTCATTCTTCCTGGACACAGGACGAGAACTCAGGCAAAGGTGCCATGGTCACAGAGGTTTCTGGCCAAAAAAATCGACACCCCAGAGATCCCATAACACTACTGCTTAAATACTTTGATAGTTACAGCCCTAAAAGCTACTTTAGTTGGAAGGGATTGAAATAACAGCCAGCCCCAGCACTGGCCTCTCAGTCAACTGCCAGGCAGATTAAAAGACACAACGTCAATCCTTGGAAAATGAAGTCCTTATTATTCAACCTGGCACCAGCAAGCTGCACCAGAAATGGTGTGATGCCAGTTTCCTAGTGGTCTGCCACAGGGCTGGGTGCTGGTAGGTTCTATGCAAAATTCCTAAATTCACTGAAATTTATCAGACTCTTTTCATCATGCATTTCCCTGGTGTTGATAATGCATGTATTTAACCAGACTCCACAGTTCCAAAACAGTTGGCTTTAACAGATCTTGCCAGTTCAATAGTTGTGTCAGTGGAGGGACTGAATCCTGGAGCTTCACCACCTTCCCTATTACGTATACTTCCCTATTATGTATACTTCACCATCTTCCCTATTATGTATACATCAATTTTCAAATATTAAACCCACCTTACATTTCTGGGATAAACCCTACATCATTATTATTATTATTATTATTATTATTTTTCCTGATACGGAGTCTTTCTCTGTCACCCAGAGCTGGAGTGCAGTAATGTGATCTTGGCTCACTGCAACCTCTGCCTATAATGTTTTTCCTTTATTCTATTTACTTGGAGCTTCATTTGCTCTTATTGTTCTAATTTCTTTCTTTCTTTTGTTTTTTTGTTTCTGGTTTTTTTTTTTTTTTTTTTTTTTTTGGTGACAGGGTCTTGCTGTGTTGCCTGGGCTGGTCTCTCAAGGTCCTGGGCTCAAGCAATCCTCCTGCCTTGGCCTCCCGAAGTGTTGGGATTATAGGCATGAGCCGTTGTGTCCGGCCTTATTTTTCTAATTTCTTAAGGCTGAAGCTGAGGTTATTGACCTTTCTTCTTTTCTAAATATCAATGACATGTTGTGTTTTCGTTTTCATTCAGTTAAAAATGTTTTTTACTATCCTTTTTCATTGCTTCTTTGACCCATGTGTATTTAGAAGTATGTTGTTAAGTTTCTTAGTGTGCATTGCCCTAATTCTTAAAGGTTAGTTTAGCTGCACAGGCAATTCTACATTTACTGTTCGTTTCTCAGCACTGTGAGATTATTCTACCATCTTCTGGCTTTCATGGTTCCTATTGCAAAGTCTATTTTTTTGTGTATTTTTTTTTTTAAGGGGGAGGCAGATAGGTAATGTGCTTCTTCTTTCCAGTTTCTTTAAAATCTTTCATTTGTCTTTGGTATTATGCAGTTTCACTAAAATATAATTATCCTGTATGGCATATATGGACTTTCATTATAGATTTGTATATTTTATCACTTCTAGAAGTCTCAGTCACTGTCTCTTCAAGTATTGCCTCTTCTCCATTCAGGCTAATTTTCCTTCTGGGACTCCAGTTAAGATAGTTTAGATGGTCTCTCATTCTTTCCTCCAAATCTCCTAACGTATCAACATATCTTAGATAGCTACCTACAGATTTTGGTGTGTGTGTGTGTGTGTGGCTTTTGTTTATTTGTTTTTTGTTTTGTTTTTTTTTTGACAGGCTCTCGCTTTGTCTCTCAGGTTGGAGTGCAGTGGTGTGATCATATCTCACTGCAGCCTTAAACTCACAGGTTCTAGTGATCCTTCTGCCTCAGTCTCTCGAGTAGCTTAGGACTACAGGTGCACCAATACACCCAGCTAATTTTTTTTTTTTTTTTTTTGAGACGGAGTCTCGCTTTGTCGTCCAGGCTGGAGTGCAGTGGAGTGATCTCGGCTCACTGCAAGCTCCGCCTCCCGGGTTCATGCCATTCTCCTGCCTCAGCCTCCTGAGCAGCTGGACTACAGGCACCCAGCACCACGCCCGGCTAATTTTTTTTTTCTGTATTTTAGTAGAGACGGGGTTTCACCGTGTTAGCCAGGATGGTCTCGATCTCCTGACCTCATGATCCGCCTGTCTCAGCCTCCCAAAGTGCTGGGATTACAGGCGTGAGCCACTGCGCCAGGCCCAGCTAATTTTTTTTTAGTAGAGACAGGTCTCACTATGTTGTCCAGGCTGATCTCCAACTCCTGGCTTCAAGAGATTCTCTTGCCTCAGCCTCCCAAAGTGCTAGGATTATAGGCATGAGCCACTGCACCCAACCTTTTTTTTTTTTTTTTTCCCAAATCTCTTTAACCATTTTGACTAGTCTCTTGTTTGCTCATTTTTGTGATTTCTTCTCTTTAATATGGTATTGTTTTATATTCTGAATGATAATTCCATTACCTCAAGTCCATGGGATCTAAATCTACTACTTATTGTCTGTTTACTTTTATCTTTACTTCTTTAATTGTATGCTAAATGAACACCAAGTGTCAACTCATATATTTAGATAACTTGTATTTGTAGAAAATAAGGGGATCTAAGTTGAGGATGTTTCTCCAAAGAGCATTTTGATTTGCTTCTTCTGGGAGTCAAGGTAATACTGAACTGGGACTAAGTCAACTTTTTCCATGACATCTGACATCATTTGTAATAGTATCTTCCCATTGGGCTATGTGTCCTTTGGGCAAGATGCCTTTCGCATGTAATTACTATTCATAGTTCAGGTTTCATCTCTGGCTTTTCCCCCTCATTAATTCTTTTTGTCCCTTTGAAGGAAATTACTTCCACCTCTTCTGAGTCCAGCAACACATCAGAAGTTATGCTTCACGCAGGTTCTTATTGCTGTGGCAAGAAAGTTCTTCAGTGTTCTAGACTACAACCAAAAAGAAAGCTAATGTCCATAGCAACCTAATATAATGTCTTTATCCAGAACAATATACTTATTTTAAAGTCATTTTCAGATTGCATTCTTGTTCTCTTTTTATCTACGGTGATTTTTTCTTCTCCTTATTCCTGATTTTGTTGGCTGTCTTAGCTTTAGTTTTCCTCATGAGTTTTAAGATTTCGATTTTCAGTAACGTTTTGAGAGAGTTTTGTTTTCTTTCTGTTACTTTTCTTGATCTAATTTGTTTTATGGTTACCTCAATCTAACAGCCTACAAATCCTCCTGTAGGACCAGATTATACTGACCATGGGGTCTTCTGTTTTGTAGACTTCTGGATTTAGTTACCAAGTCAGTAGGCGGGATAGCTAAGTATAAGGGTGTAAGACTTATACCCTGGGTCTTATACCCTGAGTATAAGACTGTGTCTACTTCCTTGCACTTATTTACCTGTGCAGTTTCAAGTTATAAGCTTGTCTCTAATCTTCCACCTTATAATAACAAGTCTCCATTCCCCACAGAATAACTTCTGGCTGCTTCTGCCTGCCATCAGACCCAGAAATCAGGAGACAGCTTTGGCCCTGTCACCCTGCTTTACTTGTCAACTTCATTTCTGCTTCCTGGAGCTTGTTTTTCTACAGGTTGCTAAGTCTTTTACATTTTCTTCTTTTAAACATCAATCATCTGATGACCACACAGTTGCAGAGTGGCTTTAAAAGCATGAACTTAAAATGACATCTTTACCAAAATTCCTATTTTGATGTAATTTTAATGACTGGAATACGAAGGCAATTACCTTTATTTCCTCTATGAAACAGATCAACTATCAAACAGCAAAATGTAAGCCTTGTTCTTACCTGCTCCAAAAGAAAATTATGTACATCTTCTCCTTCTGGTAAAAAGTCCTTCCAGCTGAGGTCAGCCTCCCTCCATAAGGCTCCCACTTTCTTATGGCTCTAAAATAGAGATAAATTCAATCCATTTACTTTCACAGTGGAAGAAGAAATAGAAAAAAAAAAAAAAAAGATTTGCCTGAAGTCAAAGAGTGCAAAACCCAAAAAGCTGAAAAATCAAAACTTTTCCAGTGGGGCATGGTGGTGTACACCTGTAGTCCTAGCTACTTGGGAGGCTGAGGTGGGAAGATAGCTCTCACCCAGGAGTGTGCGTCTAGACCAGGCAACACACACAGCAAGACCCGTCTCAAAAACAAACTTTTCCTCGCTGATTAACTTTCCTTAAGTTAATCTCTTAAGACCTGTGACTTTCAAACTATGTCTGAATGCATATAAATATAATGGTGAATAATTGAAGTACAGCTGCTTAAGGTTAAATACTTTATTTATGAGGTGACTAATCTGGGGAGCTACAAGCTGGTTATTTGGGGTTTATAAATATAAACATCAAAAAAAGTCCAATACATAGAGTTTATAAATTCCACACTGTGTCTTTTCCTAGATAGTTCTGTATGTATCTGCTATTAAAGCCATTCAAGAAGCCTCACTAGAATCCCTCTTTGTAACAGATCACAGCGATGCTGCCGGATACAAGGAGGCTTAAGGCAGCTGTTGCTCCTGAACCAGGAATGAGAAGTGTTTCAAGGGCAAGAAGCACAAGGTTGAGCCCAAGAGAGACAATAAAGAAGAGCTGTTGTCAGGTAGAAAAACGTGAAGAGGTGCAAGTCCTCTAGCTGGAGAAAGTCACAGTGAAAAGGAAAGTGCCAGGTCTGAGGCTGTGGCTGTCACCTGAGAGGCATGTATTAATTACTTCATAGAGTAACTTGTCCAAGGCACAGCTGAAAATATGGTGGAACCAGAATTTGAACCCAGGAATCTAGCTCCAAAGCTTATACTCTATGAGAATTTAGTTTTATTTAGAAGTAGGGTTGTGCTGTTTCTACACATAAAAGTAAGAATGTGAGTTTTATTTTTAGTTATTATTATTAATTTTTGAGACAGAGTCTCTTTCTGTAGCTCAGGTTGAAACGCAGTGGCACGATCTCAGCTCACTCCAACCTCCACCTCCCAGATTCAAGTGATTCTCCTGCCTCAGCCTCCCAAGCAGCTGGGATTACAGGTGCCTGCCACCACATCTGGCTAATTTTTGTATTTTTAGTAGAGATGGGATTTCGCCATGTTGGCCAGGCTGGTCTCCAACTCCTGACCTCAAGTGATCCACCCGCCTCGGCCTCCCAAGGTGCTGGGATTACAGGCATGAGCCACTGTGCCGGCCAGAATGTGAGTTTTTGTTCTTGGTTTTTTTTTTGAGATGGAGTCTTGCTCTGTTGCCAGGCTGGAGTGCAGTGGCATGATCTTGGCTAACTACAACCTCCGCCTCCCGGGTTCAAGTGATTCTCCTGCCTCCGCCTCCTGAGTAGCTGGGATTACAGGTGCATGCCACCACGCCCGGCTAATTTTTGTATTTTTAGTAGAGACGGGGTTTCACCATGTTGGCCAGGATGGTCTCGATCTCTTAACCTCGTGATCTGCCCACCTCGGCCTCCCAAAGTGCAGGGATAACAGGCATGAACCACCATGCCTGGCCAGAATGTGAGTTTTAAATAAGGACTAAAGTCAAGTAGGTCAGAGAGGAAGAAATTTTGGACATAAAAGCTAGGGTTCAGTAAAAATTTTAGTGCCATTAAGCAAAGAGTAGTATTAACAAATAATCAACAGGACTAGAGACCAGGATATTTAGTGCATCTCTTTATGAATAACTACCACACAAATGGGATACAGAAGGACTTCTGTATCAGAGGGAGGAATGAAACACTGGCTTTAAACATTAAAATCTATCATCCAATATCTTTGGGTCAGGTGTAAGTCAGAAATCACTCAAGAATCTTCATTTCTGAGTTCTATTTTGTTTTGACATCTCTCATCCCTCTCATCCTAGACATTTAATTCCCTTTGTGATGCCACGACACTTCCCCAAACCTCTTAGACTTTAACAGAGCACTTTCACACTCTTTTGAAATTATTGGTTTAGATTTATCTGTTCCCACTTTATAGACTGACAGCCTGCCACAGACTTTATAGACTGACAGCCTCCAGCTCTATGGTGCTTTTCGTTGAAATCTATTAAAACATAGAAATGATATACCCATTTTGTTTCAAGGGAAGAAAAAATCACCAACCACAAATAACACGTCTTGAGATTCTTTAGAATTATACCAAATCTAGTCGAGATTTGATAAGTCTTCCCCACGATATTAGTAAACAGAAGGACAAATGCACTTCAGAAAGAAACTGGGTTGAAGCAGAGACCTCACTCTTTTTTCAAAGAATAAAAGGAAATAGAATTTCTTGCACCCTGAGACCTAAGCTATTCACAGATAACCCAAGATCAAGATCACTGCACTGCCCTTCCTAATAATGCTGTTGAGGCTGACACTCAGTTTAACACTCACCATTTGTTTGCATAGTAGGTGCAATATTTCAGAAAGCAAGACCCCAGCTCTTCCAACAGGAAGTAAAGGTTTGCTAAATTCTCTGTAAAAGATAGGAGCAGTGAATAAGTACCTCTGAAGAAATCCTTTCTTCTAGAACAAGACGCAAACAATGTGTGACAAAAAGCCAGACACTGTGCAACCTAAACAATACTGGGCAAGCCAAAGCTCCAGGACATGCTCTAAGTCATTTTCAGGAGAAGATCCTGAAAAGGAACATGCGAGTTCTTGGTTTTTACCTTTTTCTTTAACCACTTCAGTGATAGAAGCAACACAAAGCTCAGACTCGGTAATCTGTTTGTTTATGTAACGTCTGCTTCAAGCTAAAACAAGAAGCATCTTAGGTAACAGGGAGTTGTGATGCTTTCATAGTTTTTTTTTTTTTTTTTTGAGGCAGAGTCTTGCTCTGTCGCCAGGTTGGAGTGGACTGGCGCAATCTCGGCTCACCGCAATCTCCAATTCCCTGGTTCAAGCGATTCTCCTGCCTCAGCCTCCCGAGTAGCTGGGATTAAAAGCACGCAACACCACACCCAGCTAATTTTTGCATTTTAGTAGAGATGGGGTTTCACCACATTGGCCAGGATTGTTTTGATCTCCTGACCTTGTGATCCGCCTGCCTTGGCCTCCCAAAGTGCTGGGATTACAGGCGTGAGCCACCGTGCCTGGCCGTATATAAAGTATTTTTAAGAAAGGAAGCTTTTCTTTATAGATGAAATTATGGATGAAACAGAGAAGGGGCCAATTTTTTAATAGTCTAAATCAGTATTTCTCAAACTGTGTTCCATAGGATATCTATACTTTAAGTGATGCAATGCTGAATTAAACAAAGCTAACTACTTTTTATTTATTGCTTTATTATAGGACTCTCATAAACTTTAATATGCTAAATATGTTTTGTTAATCTCAAAGAAAAGGGACATAGCAGTGTGCAAAGTCTGACTATATAAACAACTTTTGCGGAAACACTAGTGTTTCAAAGAACAGAGTTTGGGAACCACTGGTCTATATAATGTAGCATCCATTCCCCACTCATATCCAAACTTAGGAATACTTGAGATCTGTTTCTTTTGTTATAATCATGAGCATGTACTATGGGGTACCGCAGTCTGACAAGCTACAGTGGGAAAATATAACTACTTACAGCACTAGTGCAATGATAGACACAAAAGCCAGATTAACATTAAGCTTCTAGAAGCAGTCATCTTCCAGTTACACGATTCTGGAGCCAATCTATTATCACAACTACCCTCAACAGACCACAGGGCTATCATATCCCCAACATATCTCAGGTGTAGACCTAGCATAATGTAACATTTTTACACTGAAATCAGAAGTCTTTAAGAGTCACAGGCTCCATTCAAGAGTCTCCAAAAGCAACCATGGGATAGTACTATGCTAGAGAGCTAGCAGGTGAGTTATGTGTCAGTTCTACCTGACATATATCAAGAGAAACAAGTATAACTTACGTGGTAAGTTCTCTCATGGAGATTCCGCCTTCTTTTAACATGGGGGTCACCAGTTCAGCAAGGTACAACCAAATATGGGGAATATCAATGGCCATGTCATCTGCCAATTCCAAAGTTTCTGAAAAACTGAAAAGGAACGGGGGTAAAAATAGCATGCAAATATAATTCAAAAGTTAAGATTAAATAAAAAGATAAAAAAATCAATCAACAAATACATATTAATCACCTGCTATGTTAGGTACAGTCTAGCCACAAAGTAACTGGTAAACACATTACTATTCTCAAAGAGATTATGTCAGCGTGGGGAAAAAGACTAGAACAGACAAAAGCATACTTGCAGACAGAGCTAATACTCTGAAGAACATGAACTATGGTACCAGAAGGAGGTCAGAAAACACCTCCATATAAAGGTGACATTTGAAAGCCTTAAATGATGAAAAGGAGGACAGTCCTGTGAAGTTCTAGGGGAAAAACTATCCATTTAATCCCGTACTATAAAGAATTCACCACAGTTGAATATCACGTCCTCTGAGTCAATCAAAAGCACTGACTAAACACTTACTGTAACAAAGATCTGACACAAAGAAAAGGCAAAAATCTGTGTTCTTGAGGAACCTTACAATGGGTAAAAAAACTGGATGGATATAAAAGAGTCTGACAACATTACTAACACTACCATCATTATTACATGTTACAAACTGTTCTATCTCTACAGAAAAGCTAATGGTTTCAGACTTTTGTCCTATGAATTATAACTATTTCTCAATGTCAAGCAAATGGGAATTAAATGTAAAACTTAGGAAAATCAAATATAAAATACCAGCAGTCTTATGTAGGCTAAAAATCACAGCTATTCACTTGGAAGTAGAAACAAACAACTCAAGACGTTGTTAATTATTTCCATATACAATATATTAAAAAGTACAAAAGCAAATGAATTTAACTACAGGAGACATACACATAACTGCAAGTCATAAGGAAAGGGAGGAATGAATTGAAGGGCTAAGAGCAGGTGGTAATTGTATGCATGCCCTTTCAGATCTCTACAATTGTAAAATGTGTGCTTTTCCACTGCAGTTCCAGGTTCTAGCCAAAGTACGCCACCCTTTTTTCAGAGGCCTACATGTCAGTAAAACTTTTCACTTAAAAACAGCTACTACCGTGGGCAGGGTCACCATTCTGAAGCTGCCATTTCAAAACAGTTTGCAGCTCAGCCATATTACCTAACTCAGGGCTTCATGAATCCTTAATTCCAACTTTCTGACCTCACAGCTTGCAATTATTTGACGCCGAGGACAGTATCTGTGCTACGGCAAATAGATGTCAAATAATTGCAGGTTCTCTCATTATGTGCATACTTTGGGTTCAGTTAATGTACCCCTGATGGAATATAATCTAGCTGGACTCCAGGATTTCTAGGTTAACCACCTGACCCTGCCAACTCCTGCTCCATGGGCTAGCAGCATAAATGAAGCTGTTCAATGGGCCCAAGAGACAACTGTAGCCATGCTGGTCTTTCAGCAGTATATCTGCTGCTATTTTTATCTCATATATTTTACCTCATTACAAATAAAATATACCCATATTCTTGCCTTGGTTTTTTACTCCTTGATCAGTCAGTTCATCATGGGACAGTCTGCAGAATACAATCAGTGGTCAAATCTATACTGCTAACAAAAACCTTTTTTAGCTGAACATAGGATTTCCAGAGAACAAGCCTGTAAGGAGCTTATTGTTTTTTCAGGTTTACAGTTCCTAAATCCTGTTTCATGATTCTGAAAGAAAAATCCTAAGTGTGCGGAAGCACCTAGGTAATAACTGTCCTTATGTCTTTGCACTACTACATAGCCTATAATAATGCTTTGCACCACACGTATTTTCTAAAAGCTGAAAAAATGAAACAGAGCTACATCATACCCTTGCCTCTTGGCATGTAGTGACCATCACAGTCATTGGACTGTCAGGCTGTTCTTTGGCTGCAGGGAAAAAACCACAGCCATTGGACTGAACTTTGGTAGGGTCTACATAGATGAGACTGCAGATATCCCTCCACCCATTTCAATTACAAAAGCTCCACTTCATTTTATATACTGGGTTTTTGTCTAAAATTTTAATTGTAGAAAGGGATACACGATTAAAAGAAAAATATTTTAAAATTTTAATGCAGTAAAGTTCTGATAAGAAATCTTTTAAAAAAGCAAAATAATGCTACCACAATTGAAAGTGGTATTGTCAAAATAACCAGAAAACAAATTACAAAATGGCAGTGGCAAGTCCTTATCTATAAATAATTATATCAAATGTAAATGGATTAAATTTTCCAATCAAAAGACGGAGTGGCTAAATAGATTAAAAAATAAGATCTGGCCAGGTGCAATGGCTCATGCCTGTAATCCCAACACTTGAAGGGGCCAAGGCAGGAGGATCACTTGAGCCTAGTTGTTGGAGACCATCCTGGGCAATGTAGGGAGACTCTGTCTCTATAAAAAAATAAAAAAAATTAGCCAGGCATCATGATACATGGCTGTGGTCTCAGCTACCCAGGAGGATTGCTTGAGCCCAGAAAGAAGAGGTTGCAGTGAGCCTTGATTGCGCCACTACACCCCAGCGTCGGTGACAGAGTGTGACTCTCTCTCAAAACTTAAAAAATAAATAAATGAAAAATGAGATCCAACCATATGCTGTCTGTAAGAGACTCATTTTACTAGTAAGGACATTAACAGACTGAAAAGGAAGAGAAGAAAAAAGATATTTCATGAAAACAGAAACCAAAAGAGGGCAAGGGTAGCTATACTTACACAAGACAAAAAGGACATTAAGTCAAAAACTGTAAGAGACAAAGGTCATTATGTAATGATAAAGGAATCAATTTACTAAGAGGATATCACAATTATAAATACATATGCACCTCACATTGGAGTACCTAAAAACATAAGGCAATTAATTATCTGAAGGGAAAGATAGACTACAGTACAGCAAGAGTAGGGGACCTCAACACCCTTCTTTAAACAATGAACAACTCATCTAGACAGAAAATCAGTAAGGAAACATTGGCCTTGAATTATACTTTAAACCAAATAAAAATATACAGAACATTCCATTAAACAGCAGCAGAATACATATTCTTCTAAAGTGCAAATAAAACATTCTCCCCAATAGATCATATGTTAGACCACAAAACAAGATTTAACAAATTTAAGAGGACTGAAATCATATCAAGTATCTTTTTGGATCACAATGCAATAAAACTTGAAATCAGTAACAGGGGAAATCTTGGAAAATATCCAAACATGTGAATGTCAAACAACATTCTCCTAAACAACCAATAGGTCACAGAAAAAATTACAAAGGAATTTTTAAAAATACCTTGAGACAAATGAAAATGGAAACACAACATACCAAAACTTATAGAATGCAGCAAAAGTACTCTTAAGAGGGAAAAATGAGTATGCATATCAAAAAAGAAAAAAGATCTCAAACAATATACTATTACACATCAAGGAAATAGAAGAACAAACTAAGCCCAAAGTTAGCACAGGGAAGGAAATAACAAACATGCAAACAGAAATGAATGAAATAGACACTTAAAAAATGAAAGAAAAAAAAATCAATGATACTCGGAGTTTTTTTTTTTTTTTTTTTTTGGAATAATGAAGAAAATCAAGAAACCCTTATCTAGACTAGGAGAAAAGAGAGAAGACTCAAAATAAGGAATGAAAGAGGAGATATTACAACTGATACCACAGAAATACAAAGGATCGTTTAGAAACTACTATGAACAATAACATGGATAATCTAGAAAAAAACAGATAAACTCATAGATACATACAACAAATCAAGACTGAATTATGGCCAGGTGCACTGCCTTCAACCTATAATCCCAGCACTTTGAGAGGCCAAGGTGGAAGGATCATTTGAGTCTAGGAGTGCAAGACCAGCCTGGGCAACATAGTGAGACATCATCTCTAAAAAAAATAAAAAATGAGCTGAGCATAGTGGCATGCACCTACTGTTCCAGCTACTTGAGAGGCTGAGGTGGGAGGATCACTTGAGCCCAGGAGGTTGAGGTTGCAGTGAGCCACGATGAAGCCACTGCACTCCAACCCGGGTGACAGAGCAAGACCCTATCTCAGAAAGGAAAAAAAAAAAAGGCCCAGGACTAGATGGCTTCACTGCTGAATTCTACCAAACACTTGAAGAGGAACAAATTCTTCTCAAACTCTTCCAAGAAATCGAAGTGGAGAAAATACTTTCCAAGTCATTTTACAAGGTCAGTATGGCAATCCTCCCACCTCAGCTTCTTGAGTAGCTGCAGCTATAGACACCCACCAGCATGCCCAGATAGTTTTGGTATTTTTTGGTAGGGATGGGGTTTCACCATGTTGCCCAGGCTAGTCTGAAACTCCTAGGCTCAAGCAACTTGCCCACTATGGCCTCCCAAAGTGTTTTTTTGTTTTTAAAGATAGGATCTCACTCTGTTGCCCAGGCTGGGGTGCAGTGATGTTCTCATAGTTCATTACAGCCTTGAACTCCTGGGCTCAAGCAATCTTCTTGCCTCAGCCTCCCAAGTAGCTGTAATTATTGGCATGTGCCACCATGCACAGCTACTTTTTTTGTTAATGTTTTTTTAGAGATGGGGTCTTGCTATGTTGCCCAGACTGGTCGTCTTGAACTCCTGGCCTCAAGCCATCCTCCCACCTTAGCCTCCCTGGTAGCTGAAGATTACAGGTGCGAGTCACCATGTCCAGCCTATGTAGGGTCTTTTACCAATGTAGAATTGCTGCAAGCAGTAATAAAAGTTCCAGAAAAGCAGTCAAGGAAGAGATAAGAATTTCCTCTCTAACAAACATCTCCCAAAATGAAATATTAATGTATCAGTCTTCCTCTAGGGTACATATTTTGTGTCTATTGTCCACTCTAATTTTTACAACCTTGGTCTTCATTTGTTTATTACACTTTCAAAGTCATTCCAATTCTGTGACTAACAGCAAACTGCACTCAACTATATTTATTAGACAGTTTTTAAAAAGTTTTCTGAAATCATGATATAAAAAGACTATCAACACACAGTTTGAAGTGCATGTACCTATACAATAATGCTTCTACCTATCTACCTACCGACCTAACTTGTGTCATAAAGTATTTAGATTCAAGTCCTGAAAATCTCAGGAGAATGGCTTGATGTTATCTTTGTGGAGGTATGTTTTACACACAGCAACTATTATGCTCACAGTTGACATAACATCTTGTAAGGAAAATTCCAAAGGCCCTAAAAGCTATATTCATAAAGCCTATTTGAAATTTTTGTCTATTTTACTACTTTGCAGCAGTGCATACTCTAAAGAGAACCATAGGGAGAAATGGCAGATTAGTAACTAGCTCACCAGGGATCAGTATACCTGGAGGCTTTCTGCCTTTTTTTTTTTTTTTTTTTTTGAGATGGAGTCTCACTCTGTTGCCAGGATGGAGTACACTGGTGCAATCTCGGCTCACTGCAACCTCCGACTCCCTGGTTCACACAATTCTCCTGCCTCAGCCTCCCGAGTAGCTGGGATTACAGGCATGCACCACCATGCCTAGCTTATTTTTGTATTTTCAGTAGAGATGGGGTTTCACCATGTAGGCCAGGATGGTCTCAATCTCCTGACCTCGTGATCCGCCTGCTTCGGACTCCCAAAGTGCTGGGATTACAGGCGTGAGCCACCGTGCCTGGCTGCCTTTCTGCTTTCTAACCTTCCCAGGGTTATCACTGGCTTGGCAAGCTAGGCAGAAACTGCTTCCCCAACTGTTCAGAAGTTGACATCTAAGCAGTAGTAGCACCCAAAGCAGCTGATCTCAGAGGCTTTTCCACAATACTATGGAAGGACAACACTATCTTTGTAGGTTAAGAAATAGAAGCAGGCCAGGCGCGGTGGCTCAAGCCTGTAATCCCAGCACTTTGGGAGGCCGAGACGGGCGGATCACGAGGTCAGGAGATCGAGACCATCCTGGCTAACACGGTGAAACCCCGTCTCTACTAAAAAATATAAAAAACTAGCCGGGCGCGGTGGTGGGCACCTGTAGTCCCAACTACTCGGGAGGCTGAGGCAGGAGAATGGCGTGAACCCGGGAGGCGGAGCTTGCAGTGAGCTGAGATCCGGCCATTGCACTCCAGCCTGGGCGGCAGAGCGAGACTCCGTCTCAAAAAAAAAAAAAAAAGAAATAGAAGCAAAAGACAGGGTATCTTCATGGCTCCAATAAATGGTCCCCCTAGACGGTATGAACCATTTATAACTCAGGTTTTAGAAAGGATTGTGAAATTCTCATCTACTTGCAAGACGGCTCCTGGCGGACACTGACATGAAGCAATCCCTACCATTTCCCTCTTAGAAAAAGGTGGGCACTAAATTGTCAGGCCTCTCCATTCAGAATAAAATAGTACAACTTTTACATGTCTTGGTCTAAGGTCCAAGACTGGTTAGGTCTAAGCATCAAAAGTTAGGCCTGGAGACACTGCACTGCCTCTAGTTGCAGAAGGAAGCAGGTATGGTGAAACATGAAGTAATTGCTGAGACACAGAAGCGTTAACCTCATTTTATGTCTAAATAAAAGGTAGTAGTGTGGTAGTTATTGCCAGCAACAGCAATTCTACTACCAACAACAAAAGTGTAGCCACCATGTCTGGTTATGATATTCTTTCTTCAGGGAATCCCACAAAGGGAGAAATGCAAATGTCTGAGATATCCTAGAGACTAAGTTAGTATCTCACAAGTTCAATTATAGCCAATAATGGTAGACTATGCTTCCGGGGATCTTTATAGATATGAATCAACTTCTGAATATAGTTTGAAGAGACAGAAAATAGTAAACAATAATTTACCATTATCATTTCCAGAATTTTCTGAGGAATGTATCATAATACCTGGGTAATAAGTAACTATTTATAAATGGATATCCTTGTTACTCCAACAGTATTATTTCTAGGAAATTATAGTTTCAAGTCTGCTGGGGGGACCATATTCAATCTGATTTTGAGGGTGTACATACCTTCATTTGCTCTTACCATTTGCACTGGCTAGTTACTGGACTGAATTGGAAGCTTCTCTTTTAAAACCGGGAAACCATCCTGGCCTTAAAAACCAAAAACCACAGCAACTTTTGCCAAAATTTCTTTTTTTTTTTTTTTTGAGACAGAGTCTTGCTCTGTCACCCAGGCTGGAGTGCAGTGGCCGGATCACTGCAAGCTCCTCCTCTCGGGTTCACGCTATTCTCCTGCCTCAGCCTCCCGAGTAGCTGGGACTACAGGCACCCGCCACTTCACCCGGCTAGTTTTTTGTATTTTTTAGTAGAGACGGGGTTTCACCGTATTAGCCAGGATGGTCTCGATCTCCTTACCTCATGATCCGCCCGTCTCGGCCTCCCAAAGTGCTGGGATTACAGGCTTGAGCCACCGCGCCCGGCCCAAAATTTCTTACTAACTGGTTCAAATGGACTTAATCTAGTCATTCACTGAATTCAGAGCAATCTAGCTTATTGCTGAAAGAAAACTTTTTTTTTTTTCCATACAAGGTCTCATTCTGTTACCTAGGCTGGCGTGCAGTGGTGTGATCATGGCTCACTGCAGCCTGGACCTCCCAGGTGCAATCCTTCTGCCTCAGCCTCCCAAGTAGCTGGGACTATAGGTGCACACCACCATGCCCAGCTAATTTTTGTATTTTTAGTATAAATGGAGTTTCACCATGTTGCACAGGCTGGTCTCAAACTCCTGGGCTCAAGCGATCTTTCTGCCTCAGCCTTCCAAAGTGCTAGGATTACAGGTGTGAGTCACCATGCCCAGCCTGAAAGAAAACTTTTTTTTTTTTTGAGAGGGAGTCTCACTCTGTCGCCCAGCATGGAGTGCAGTGGCACAATTTCAGCTCACTGCAACCTCTGCCTCCCTAGTTCAAGCGATTCTCTTGCTTCAGTCTCTGGGTAGCTGGGATTCGTGCCACCATGCCTGGCTAATTTTTTGTATTTTTAGTAGAGACAGGGTTTCACCATGTTAGCCAGGATGATTTCCATCTCCTGACCTCGTGATCCACCCGCCTTGGCCTACCAAAGTGCTAGGATTACAGGTGTGAGCCACGGTGCCCAGCCTAATTTTCATGGTTTTAGTAGAGACGGGGTTTCACCATGTTGGTCAGGCTGGTCTTGAACTCCTGACGTCGTGACCCACCTGCCTCGGCCTACCAAAGTGCTAGGATTACAGGTGTGAGCCACGGTGCCCAGCCTAATTTTCATAGTTTTAGTAGAGATGGGGTTTCACCATGTTGGTCAGGCTGGTCTTGAACTCCTGACCTGGTGATCCACCCGCCTCAGCCTCCCAAAATACTGGGATTACAGGTGTGAGTCACCACGCCTGGCAAGAAAACTTTTTAATGATCCTAGGGGCAAGTATAAATTTTCGAGGACCTAGAAGACAATGTCATCATTGTCTGCAAAATCAAATGAATAAATTCAACAATGACTTTTTTGTTTTTTTGAGACTAAGACAGGCAGAGTGCAGTGGTGCAATCTTCGCTCACCGCAACCTCCGCCTCCCGGGTTCAAGCGATTCTTATGCCTCAGCCTCACAAGCAGCTGGGATTGCAGGTTCACGCCACTACATTGGGCTAATTTTTGTATTTTTAGTAGATGTTGGCCATGTTGGCCATGGCTGGTTTCAGACTCCTGATCTCAAGTGATCCACCCGCTGCAGCCTCCCGAAGTGCTGGGATTACAGGTGTGAGCCACTGCACCCGGACAATAATGACATTTAATGGTTACCTTATTCTAAAAGGATGGCCATATGTGAAATGAATACAGAAAAATATACAGTGTCATTTAATCATATGTGCATTTAATTTATGAGAATATAAGCTTGGCAAAAAAAAAAAAAAAAAAAAAAAAAAAAAAAAAGAAAGGAAAATTACAAGTAGTGCAGAATTCTTACTGCCATTTGACTCAATAAGCATATGTCCAAGTGAGGACGAGATGGCAGATGCATATCCAATGTCCAGACCTTAGGAGATCCTAGTTGCTATTCCCTTAGAGAGTGGGCATCTGTCAGTGCTGGGTGTGACTCTGTGTTTATATCTGATACAACATGGCTCCTAGAACAAAATTTTTTACCAATGCAATTTTCACTTTAAACATTGGTTATACAACCTATGCCTGGGTAAAATTTTGTGGTTGAACCAAAAGGAACCTGATCTATGCACTTGTGATGATGGTATATCACAAATATACCAGAACCTGATCAAATGAGGATTCACCACCAATGACGGGCAGACCTCATCAAACCGTCCACTGACAAGAATCATAATGAAACCAAACTGAAACAGACTAAATCATTAAGAACATGGAGTTACATATCCTTCTCCATGAGGCTAGAGTGGGCAGACAAGTGCTTCCTAGCCACAATAACCATGGTTTATTGGAAGAATAAGGTTTTTATATTTAAGACAATTTTTCAGAATTGTTCTCACAAAGAAAAGGTTTTTTCCTCAAAGAACATTTGGGGATCACATGTAAATGGGCTGCTAAAGGCCTCAGAGTTTCCCTGAGCCTAAGGGGTCTCTGCTACCTTACTTACATCATGATAGAGATCTAACAATAATATTCAGAAAACCAAAAGATAACCTTTATGGCCTAGCACAATCTATAAAATGTCATCACATCAACCAACATATATCAATATATTAATTGCATCATATCAACACATTACAGTGGATACAATTTTCATCTATGGAAAAAACTAAATACTTAAAGAGGTAAGTACTTTAAAAATTAACTGATACCCAAGAGCCTAGTAACTGAATACCACTCTTGAAGAGGATACCGACCCTTTGAAAAAGTCCTGTTTGCTGAGTTTTTCTGATTGTACCAGCTGATAGAGTAGTTGGCCCATGTGATCCCTGGTGATCTGGCTCCTTTCCAGGGTGGACTCCACTCCCACTCTCACAAAAACATGTAGCAGGCCCTGGGTATTCAGCTCTTCCACACACTGCACGGCTTCCTGTTCCAACAGCAAAGAAAGGCTTACTCCAAAATCTGGATAGTGTTACCAGAATGTTAAGATAACTTTAAAATCTTTTACTTAGAATCAGGAGAAAGCTCCATGAACAGGACAGTTTCCATATTTAAGTTTCTATTTGTTTAACATACTATATAGCTCAGTAAATTGCAGGCTGATATAGGCAATATTAAAAGTCATACAAAAAAAGAGCATTATAGCTCTTTTCAAATTTGTCTAGTAGGTTTTCCAGTTTTTACCAGAGAACCGTTTTTATAAATAAAAATTTTTAAAAAAATGATGCATCTTTACAAAGTTAACATGTTTAGTTTAACAATTTTATTAAACATCACTCAAAGGGCCAGAGTCAAATGTATTTTTCTACATAATATTTACTTATTTTATGATCATTTATTTAAAAACTTGAAAATAGTATATTATGAAATAGATATTTAATGTCGTGATTCAAAAGCCTTAATGTGTCAACAGAGGTTACTGTGTCTATGTAGGTTAATATTTGCTCAATCTTCAATGAAAAAAGTCTTCATATGAAAATTAAATTGAAGTGATATAGTTAGGTTAAGCATTAAAATTCTTTTAGTAAGTTTTCGTGGTATGCTTCTTAATTTGTGCTTGTTAACTGGTGTTTACTATAGAGTAATCCAGCCAAGTCAATATCTGTGGTCTGAAGGGTGAAAGCCGGTCAGCCAGAGTTGCTGATACGCCAATAAAGCAGTGTACCTCTCTGCTCTCAGCTACTGGAAATTAGTCTGGTGCCCTGAATTCAAAATCTGTTGGTTCAACCTTTGAAGCAAAGTAGCTCTTCCAAGGGGGACGATGTAGGTAGGAAGGGTGGTGACCTGGTGCAGAAGGGAGGAAGCTCATCTAGGTGTCTCACCACTGATGCTTTTTCCTCCTTGCTCCTTTATTTAATACCTCCCTCACATTAACTTTTTATCTAACAAAATTTCAAGCCTACAGAAAAATTAAAGTCATACAATATACAACTACATATCTTCACTTTGATTTAGATTCATCAATTGTTTTCTTTCTTTCTGAATGTCCAAATTTACTATTAATGATGTCAATAAAAATATTTGATATATAATACATATTCAAATTTCCACAACTGTCTCTAAAGGTCTAACACAGCTTTTTGTTGTTGCTGAGTCCAGTTGAGAATCCGACTTTACATGTTATGATGTTGTTCATATTCCTTTAATCCAGAACGGTCCTTTCTCCTTTTTGTCTTTTCGTGACATTGCCATTTTTGAAACATTCAAGACAATTATCATGTAAAATGGTTTCTTTTTTCTTTTGAGATGGAGTTTCACTCTTGTTGCCCAGGCTGGAGTACAATTATGCAATCTTGGCTCACTGAAACCTCTGCCTCCCAGGTTCAAGAGATTCTCCTGCCTCAGTCTCCCAAGTAGCTGGGATTACAGGCATGCACCACCAAGCCTGGCTAATTTTGTATTTTTAGTAGAGACGATGTTTCCCCATGTTGGTCAGGCAGGTTTCAAACTCCTGACCTCAGGTAATCGCCTGCCTCAGCCTCCCAAAATGCTGGGATTATAGGTGTGAGCCACTGCGCCCGGCTGTAAAAGATTTCTTATATATGCTTTTAACCAAATAATTCCCTTTTGTTTCTGGCCACATCTGTACCTCACACACAGTCTTAGTTTGTTAAATAAATTACCACTCATCCTTCTTATTCCAACTTCCAGAATGTCGCTTCTGTCTATTCCCTGGTCTCTTCATCCTTGTGGGTCTTTCACTTTTTTTTTTTTTTTTGAGACGGAGTCTTGCTCTGTCGCCCAGGCTGGAGTGCAGTGGCGCGATCTCCCCTCACTGCAAGCTCCACCGCCTCCCGGGTTCACACCATTCTCCTGCCTTAGCGTCCCTAGAAGCTGGGACTACAGGCGCCTGCCACGACGCCCCGCTAATTTTTTTGTATTTTTAGTAGAGACGGGGTTTCACCGTGTTCGCCAGGATGGTCTCGATTTCCTGACCTCCTGATCTGCCCGCCTCGGTCTCCCAAAGTGCTGGGATTACAGGTGTAAGCCACCGCACCTGGCCTTTTTTTTTTTTTTAAACAATATAAGGTCTCACTTAGTTACCCAGGCTAGAGTGTAGTGGCATGATTATAGCTCACCACTGCTTCAAGTTCCCAGGCTCAGGCAATCCTCCTGCCTCAGCCTCCCCAGTAGCTAGGACCACAGGTGTGCCACCATGCCCAGCTAATTAAAAAATTTTTTTTTGTGGAGATGGATATCTTGCCCAGGCTGGTCTTAAATTCCTGGGCTCAAGTAATCCGCTAGCCTTAGCCTCCGAAAGTGCTGGGATTACAGGGGTGAGCCACCATACCTGGCCCCTTGTGGGTTTTTTAACCTTACTTTAAGCCAATCAACATCATTGCTACGCCTTTTCCAAAGGACCTGTAAATGAATGCAAATATTCAATCCTCAAGCTGGGCGTGGTGGCTCACACCTGTAATCTCAGCACTTTCGGAGGCCAAGGTGGGCAGATCATTTGAGGTCAGCAGTTCGAGACCAGGCTGGTCAAGAAGGCGAAACCCTGTGTCTACCAAAAATACAAAAATTAGCCGTGTATAGTGGCACGCGCCTGTAATCCCAGCCACTCGGGAGGCTGAGGCAGGAGAATTGCTTGGAACTGGGAGGCGGAGCTTGCAGTGAGCTGCAATCGCCCCACAGCACTCCAGCCTGGGCAACAGGGCAAGACTCTGTCTCCAACAAAAAAATAAATAAAATAAATAAATAAATAAATAAATAAATAAATAAATATCAATCCTCACTACACGGAAGTGATTAAATGTCTTCTAATGGGAATTCATTCACTGTGTTTGCATAAAGGGTCAATTAGCTATATCATGATACACATTTTTTAAACTTTAAAAAGTTCAGGGGTACATGTGCAGGATGTACAGGTTTGCTACATAGGTAAATGTGTGTCATTGGGGTTTGCTGTAGGGATTATTTCATCACCCAGATACTAAGCCTAGTATCCACTAGTTATTTTTTCTGATCCTCTCTCTCTCTCCTTCCACCTTCTGTCCTCTAGTAGGCCCCAGTGTGCATTGTTCCCCTCTACGTGTCCATGTGTTCTCATCATTTAGTTTCCACTTACAAGTGAGAACATCAGGTATTTGCTTTTCTGTTCCTGCATTAGTTTGCTAAGGATAATGGCCTCCAGCAAAATCCATGTCCCTGCAAAGGACATGATCTTGGTCTTTATATGGCTGTATAATATTTCACGGCGTCTATGTACCACATTTTCTTTATCCAGTCTATTGTTGATGGGCATTTAGGTTGATTGCATGTTTTTGCTATTGTGAACAGCACTACAATGAACACACGTGTGCATGTGTCTTTATAAGACAACAATTTATATTCCTTTGGGTATATACCCAGTAATGGGATTGCTGGGTCAAATGCTATTTCTGTCTCTAGGTCTCTCAGAAGTAGCCACACTGTCTTCCACAATGATTGAACTAATTTACACTCCAACAGTATAAAAGTGTTCCTTTTTCTCCACAACCTTGCCAACATCTATTATTTTTTGATTTTTTAATAAGAGCCATTCTAGCTGGTATCAGATGGTATGTCATTGTGGTTTTGATTTGCATTTCTCTAATAATCAGTGATGTTGAGCTTTTTTTTCTTGTGATTGTTGGCCACATGTATGTCTTCCTCTGAATACTGTCTGTTCATGTCCTCTGTCTACTTTTTAGTGTTTTTTTTTTATTTCTTGTAAATTTGTTTAAGCTCCTCATAGATGCTGCACAAAGGACCTTTGTTGGGGGCCAGGCGCAGTGGCTTATGCCTGTAATCCCAGTACTTTGGGAGGCGGATCACCTGAGGTTAGGAGTTTGAGACCAGCCTGGTCAACATGGCGAAACCCCATCTCTACTAAAAATACAAAAAAATTAGCTGGGGGTGGTGGTGGGTGCCTGTAATCCCAGTTACTCGGGAGGCTGAGGTAGGAGAATTGCTTGAACCCGGGAGGTGGAGGTTGCAGTGAGCTGAGATTGCACCACGGCACTCCAGCGTGGGTGACAAGAGCAAAACTCTGTCTCCATAAAAAAAAAAAGAGAGCAAAAGAAAAAAACGACAACAAAAAACCACCTTTGTCTGATGTATACATTGCAAACAGTTTCTCCTATTCTGTAAGTTGTCTGTTTATTCTGTTGATTGATAGTTTCTTTTGCTGTGCAGAAGCTCTGTCATTTGATTAGATCCCATTTGTAAATTTTTGTTTTCATTGCAATTGCTTTTGGCATCTTCATCATGAAATCTTTGCCTGTGCCTATGTCCTGAATGGTATTGTGTAAGTTTTCTTCTTCACAGTTTTGAGTTTTACATTTTAATCCATCTCTAGTTGATTTTTGTATATGGTATAAGGAAAGGGTCCAATTTCAATTTTCCGCATATGACCAGCCAGGTATCCCAACACCATTTATTAAAATGGGAATCCTTTCCCCATTGCTTGTTTTTGTCAGGTTTGT